GCGATTTCCCTTGCAACCTCTTTGCTGATGCACAGGTTGGGCAGCTGGCAACATAACTTTCTATGTCCTTTTTTATTGATGGCCACCAAAATTGCCGTTTAATTAAGTGTAAAGTTTTTACAAATCCAAAATGCCCTGCTGATTTTGTGTCATGGCAAAGTTGCATGAAAGTTAGTCTTTGAGTTGTTGGTATATATAACTTTTCCCCTACCCAAGGCAATCCGTCTCTCATTGTGCACACATGTTTGTTTTTCTGGAACCAATCATCTGTTTCCAAACTTTTTCTGAATTCAATCCCAGTTTGGCTGTCCAGTTGTGGTTTTATTTTGGCTTGGGTTCTTGTGGTTACTGGCGCTGCCAGTTGTGACTCTGCCATTATTGGTCTAGAGTCTGTGGTTCGTGCGCTGTTATATTGGGGCATGCGAGATAGTGCATCTGCCAGGAAGTTCTTTCTTCCTGGTAAATGTTTGAGCTTAAATTGGAATTGGTGAAAATGCTGGGACCAGCGGGCTTGTTTGGGATTGAGTTTCCTGGAAGTTTTCAGGGCTTCTAAATTTTTGTGATCAGTCCATACCTGGAAGGGGATTTTGTTGCCTTCCAGGAACTGTCGCCACGTGAGTAATGCCCAACGTATCCCATAAGCCTCCTTCTCCCATACGGGCCAGCGCTGTTCTGTTTCCGTGAGTTTCTTAGATGTATATGCACAGGGTTGCAATACTGCATCATCATTTTCTTGTAATAGCACAGCCCCCACTGCCACATCACTTGCATCTGCCTGTATTATGAAGGGTTTGTCCATGTCTGGGTGCCTTAGTACTGGTTCGGCAGAAAAAAGTCTCTTTAGTCTCTCAAACGCTGCTTGGCACTCCATTGTCCATGTTAGTGGCTGGCTAGGTTTTACTGAGGGTGTTCCCTTCGTTTTTAGTAAGTTAGCGAGGGGCAAGGCTATCTGTGCAAATGAGGGGATGAATTGGCGGTAAAAATTTGCAAAGCCCAGGAAACTTTGTAGTTGCTTTCTTGTGCGGGGTGGTGCCCATTCTAATACTGCTCTGACCTTCTCTGGGTCCATTTCAATGCCCTGTGGGGATATGCGATAGCCTAGGTAGTCTATCCTTTCCTGGTGGAATTCGCATTTTGAGAGTTTGGCATATAGGTGAGCGGCTCGCAGCTTCTTTAAAACCGCTCTGACAAGTTTGACGTGTTCTTCTTTTGTTTCGGTAAAGATAAGAATGTCGTCCAAGTAAACAAGGACCCCCTTAAACAGGTGTTCCCTTAGAACGTCATTGATTAGTTGCATAAAGACTGCAGGGCCCCCTTGTAATCCAAATGGCAAGACTTTGAATTGATAGCACCCCATGGGGCAGTTAAATGCAGTCTTCCATTCGTCCCCTTCCTTGATTCTCACTCGATAGTAAGCTTCCCTTAAGTCTAGTTTAGAAAAAATTTTCCCTTTCGATAGGTGTGACAGCATGTCTTTCATGAGGGGCAGCGGGTATAGGTTGCTTTCACTGATTGTATTCAGGGCCCTATAATCCACGCATAAACGTAAAGAGCCGTCCTTCTTCTCTCTAAAAAGGACCGGGGCAGCCACTTTAGGCTTGGCTGGCTCAATGAAACCTCTCTCCAGGTTTTTTTTTATAAATCTTTCCATTTCCTCCTTCTCCTTTGGGCTCATGGAGTATAATCTGGGCTTCGGGAGTTTTGCCCCAGGCTTGAATTCAATGGTACAGTCTGTGGGTCGGTGGGGGGGAAGCTCATTCGCCCTCTCCTCACTGAAGACTTCAGCAAGGTCCCTATATTCCTCTGGTATTTCTGTTAATCTTCTTTCCTCTCCTATGGATGCTTTTTCTATTCTTGATTCTGGTAGCCTCCCTTGGGGTTTTAAGTCCATAGGGTCCCCCTTCGGGAATTTGATTTCTGTCGTCCTCCAATTTACCCAGGGGTTCCATTTTTTCAACCATTCCATCCCTAGAATCATTGGGCATTCCATACCTGGGGTCACCACAAACGTTAAGTCCTCTTCATGGTTGCCCAGGGAGAGATGTATTGGCAAAGTGGCTAGGGTAGCTGGCACCCCCCCTGCTATGGATCCATCTAGCTGGCCAAATGAGATTGGTTGTTCCAGTCTCCTGGATGGGATGCCCAGATTCCCCACTAGTGTTGGGCTAATGAGGCAGCGGGTACAGCCAGAGTCTATTAAGGCTTTCACCTTCACAGCTTCGGGCATGGGGGGGATTAATATAGTCACTGTTTTGAAGATGGGTGTGATGCATCCACTTACCAGGGGTTCGCCCTCCGAGCTGTCATCTGAGGCATCCACCGGCCCTGTGGTGTAGGCTGGAGTCCTTTCCCCTTGGTGAGCAGAGGTGGGGGTTTCTGCAATTTCCATCATTCTCATGGCCGTTTCTTTTGGCTTAGCTGAATACTTTCCGGGTTTGTTGATTTGGGATCTGTCTGGGTTGTGCTGGGGGGCCTTTGAGCGGCATTCTACAGCTCGATGCCCTTCTCTTCCGCACTTGAAACATCTCATTTGCTTCTTGGCTGTATCCGATGATTTCACCGGTTGGTGTGTCAGCTCAGGCGGGGGGCGGCTCCATTGTTTTCCTCGGCGGTGCCTCTTCAATATGTCGATCTCTGCTTCCTCTGCCAAGACGTACCATTCCTCAAGTCGATGTGGGTCCCCTCGGGGCAGGCAAGCATCATATAGATCATAGTTTAGTCCGTCTTTGAAATGGCCAAGGAGGATGTCTTCTGGCCAATTCAGTTTGCTGGCAATGGCCCGGAATTCTTGTGTATACTCAGCCACTGGGCGTTTGCCCTGCCTCATCGTTGTTATTCTTTCACGGGCTTTGCGATCAGCCAGGGGGTCTTCAAATCGTCTTCTCAAAGAGGACATGAAACGGTTGAAGTTACTGAGTTCTGGGGCATTGGAGTCATGCAAGTTCACTACCCAATCCGCAGCTGGTCCATCCAGGGCAGATTGCACGATCCGGATGCGGGCTTTGTCGCTGGGAATATCCTGCCCATATTCCTCCATGTAGCTGAGGACTTGGGTTAGAAAAAACCCCAAGCGTGTTGGCTCCCCTTTGAATTTCACTTCCAACGGTGGACGTCTTGGAATGGATCGGTGCCTCTGTTGTGGGTGGTAGTGCCTTCCGTCCAGATTGCCATCTGTGGTCCGGTAGGGGGTGGGAGCTCCTGGATCAGTAGATGTCCCTGGGGTTGCAGGTTCCACGTCCCCCTCGGTGTCTCTCCCTTTGCGGCTCCAGGAACTGGGGCGGCCGTAGGGTTCAGTATTCTCCTCTCCTAGGGAGCTGAGAGTTCTCTTCATCAGGTCAATAGCTTTCTCTAGGATCCAGTCTGAGTACGGTGCCCAGCTTCCTCCCTCTTCACTTGCGTGCAGGGATTTCTCCATCTCCTGCTTCCATTCTGGTTGCTTGGTCCCCCGTCTCAGGGTCACCTTTCTTGATTCCTTTCCCCACTCACTTTTCTTTCCAACGCCCATCGACCAGCGAGGCTTGTGGTCCTGTGTCTCCACCACTTCTTCTCCTGAGGAATCTGGCCTCTCGGATCCCAACATCTGGCAAGGTTCCAACTGGGTCAGCGGCTCTCTTTCCAGGGAGTTTTCCCCCTCTCTTGCTCCATTGTCTGACATGGTAAATTTTTGCAAAATCCCCCGGCAAGGGTCTTCCTTCCAGGTGGATTAATTTTGCAAGTCCTGTCTAATGTAAGGACCCACCCCACTTTGCATCTTAAGAAGACAGAACTCTTGGAATAATTCTTCCAACAGGAATCCTTTATTAAGAGAAAATGGTTGCAGGCATGCTAGACAGGACTTGGGGTCCAAGCTCTCCCATTCAAGGTTTTAAGGGGTTCCCCAGTAGTCCCACCCAATCAACCCCCCTTCCAGTGATAGTTTCAAGTATCACAATTCCACCCCGTTTCTTCTTTCTTCCGTCTGGATGGAGACTTCAGATAACTACATGAAAGGCAAATACTCTTCTTTGTTAATGCTAATGTTCTCTGGATGCTAACGCTTTGAGGTTACAATAGGTTACAATAAACACACATTCAGCATTCAGCTCTTTGAAGTCTACTGAAGGAAGTGAGGGCCATAAAGCCCCTTTGTTCTCCCCCTTCTCTCCCTCTTATGGCAGAATCCAAAGAAGGCAGAATTGGGAGTTTCTATATTTGATAATTAAAGATGAAATATGATTGGATTCTGACAGTTAGATGATTAAAAAAAAAAGTTCAAGTGTTCTTCAGAACTGATCCATATTTAGAAACAGGCATATATTTTTTTGCTATGAGTATATTTATGGTAATTATTTCATTTCTTAAATGTTATATATCCTTTTCACATGAACGCTGTACTGTCCATTTGGGAATGGTCCCCTTGAAGCTATTTTCTCAGCTTACAATATGCTGTGGTTAGTGTTTGTGTGAATGTGTAATGCTGCAGTGAAGTATTTTGTAAAGGCCCAAAGTTAATTAACTTTAGCACCATAAAGTAGAAATTACAGAAAGCAAGGGATGATTAGATTTTTATTCAATCTTTATATTTGATCAAATCAAGGTGGCAAAGAACCTAATACCTCTGGACTTCCTATTTTCCTACAACAATCACCTTGTCAGGTGGGTCAGACAGAAGGAATGTGACTGCCCAAAGTCACCTAGCCAGCCATCATGTCTAAGAGAGACCTAAAAGTAATAGTTCTTTAAACACTGCACCAAACTGGGATGCTGAAATGACGCTGTTATTTCTGCAGCAATGTCTCCTTTAAGAACAGTTCATCCAAGATATAACAAGCAAAACTCTATTTGGCTTTCTTAATTAGCCAAGGTCACTCTTGAATTTATTTGCACCTGGATGCTAACGTAAATCAACTCTGTTATTCTCCATAGCTATGGTTTAGAAAATAATCGTATAAGCTTTAACATCATTATTTATCATAGATTTATTTATCTCTTCGGATTCTGATAAGACCTGTCAATGTTATCAAGCGACGGCAACTAAATTCATAAATCCCACGGTTCTATTCCTAAGGTGTGTATTTTCTTCCCCCTACACACACAGACAGTTCGTAGTGCGCATTTTTCAATGATGTTACTCGTCATAAATGAACACTGATGAATGTTTATGACTGATGAACGCCGAGCTGTAACAATCGCCAGGTTTCGGCGTTTCCACGACAACGGGAGAAAAGGACTTTAGTTCTGCCATTTCCACAGCGACGCGATCGGGCTGGAGGACAGTCTGCAGATGGCGGAAGGGCAACTGCTTCGCGTGCTGCGGGGCGGCTCCGGGACTCGCTCTCTCTCTCTGGCACGACGGGGGTTGCAGCACCCGCCGCGGGGCTTGGCCAGCTTAAGCAACTTGGAGCGCCTGAACCTCCGAGATAATCAACTCTTCAGTCTCTCTCACGAAATGGAGGCTCTGAGCCGGGTGAGCCGGCCCCAAGACCCTGGCTTGGAGGCGCATTTGTGGGCATGGTTGTCACTCGCTTACCCTGATTGTAAGCTTTGTTACCCGGAATGCTGGTCTAAGAAGTCTCTGACTGATCCAGCTAGGCTCTTCTTGCACTGTTACGGACTGATCGCCTGCAGCAATCACCATTCTTCCTTACTAGAGAATCTCTGATATTTCATGGGAAAAGGGGGGGGGGCATTCGTGCCGTTCTTAGAATGTTTTTAAAAAATCTGTATTAATTATTACACTGAAGTTGTTTTTTAAACTGCTGTTATAACCAATGTGTTCAATAATTGCAATCTCAGCTGTAATCAAGATGCTGCAGAATTTTGGATAAATATTTTTTTCAATCCAGAACAGTTTTGTAAACCACACTGTTGAAAATCTATACTGAAAAAGAATTAGTATAGTTTGTATTTTTTTTTCAACAAGAATATTAGTTTCCTTGTGTAGTGGTTTCTTAAAGTGGGAGGATATGACATGGAATGAAGAAGCATTTTAAAATTAGTGTTTTTTTTCTTTTGGAAAAAAATAGATACTGGTTTTAGGTTTTTTTAACATCATCTTTGGAACAGTTGAAAACTACAGAGTTTTGTTGCATGGCAATTTTTCTTTGTGATAAAATATATGTTACCTTGTGAAAGAATAAATATCGTATAATTGTAATAATGTAAACCCATGGCAGAATCAACATTAATCTTTGTTAAAGTTCTGGTTTAAACATATCCTCTAAAACAGTGGTTCTCAACCTGTGGGTCGGGACCCCATTTGGGGTCGAACGACCATTTCACAGGGGTTGCCAAACAACACAGTCCGCCATTTTCCCCCCCTTTTCCTTAGCTGTGCTACTCCCTTTTATTCTATTGGCTTTTGAAAGCCAATAGAATAGACTCTGTTGAATAGAGTCTAATTCTATTGGCTTTCAAAAGCCAACAGGGATTGTCCAGGCTGTCTCTGCCCTGCTGAGCCCGCCAAAAGTCTCATTCTGCAAACGGTGCTGCACCAGTTGAGTAGTCCTCGACTTACGACTGGTTGAGTAGTCCTCAACTTACGACCGATTGGGGGTCAAGGCATTAAAAAGGTTGAGAATCACTGGTCTACACAAAGTTCCCATGGTTAAGAAACACTGGATTAAAAGCATTCTTCTGGATTGCCTTAGGAAATTGTTCCACTTCTTCCTAAACTGGTGTAGTTCTATTGGTTTTAATGGAAGAAGAGAGCTCAAAACTGGTGCAGCACCGTTTGCAGAATGAGACTTTTGGCGGGCTCAGCAGGGCAGAGACAGCCTGGACAATTGGCTTTTGAAAGAGAGAACCACTGCTCTAAAAGCTACTTACTGGGATTGCAAAACTCGCAATATCATCCAAACTAAACAAGTTTCTTGGATGAGAAGTGAAATGTTTTCAAAGAAAAAAAAAGCCCAGTTGTCTTTTGGAAAAGCACTTTTGCGACAACCTGGATGATCGAGAATCTCCATAGACACTAAGCAAAGTTGTATTACTGCAGCATAAGACAGATTGCATTGATTGCAACTCATTGCAAACCATGATAGCAAAGGAGTCATATTAATGCAATTCATAGTTTATAGATCACTTGGACTTAGGGCAATGTGCCAATACTGCAGTTTTACTTGATACAAAATTTTATTGTAACAAACATAATACTTAACTATACTTAGCTTTAGCCATGAAAACCAGCTGGGTAACTTTTGGCTAGTCACTCTCTTTCAGCCTAACCCACCTCACAGGGTTCTTGTTGTGAGTAAAATAGAACAAGAAAAATGTTTGCCAGAGTTATTTGTAAAAATAATAAAGGTGGGATTCAAATAAATTCTGTATTCATCCTTAGTTTGAGCTCCTGAATGAAAGGCAGGTTATTTAATAAAATCATAAGGACTATTTCCGCAGAATTTGCATGCCATTCCATTCTATACAAAAAACATTTCTGATAATTCCATGCCATTTGTGTATCCTGCTATAATGTAGGATTTTGCTTGTAGCCCATTTCTTAATTTCAAGCTAAATAACAATAATGCCCAATTTTGTTTTTAAGAGATAGAATTTCTGTTGCAAGCTTGTATCACAGGATAGTTTCAGCTCTTAATATGATAGTTCAAAATTAGATAATACTAATGCACATGAGTTTCTTTTTTCAACCTTAGAGGAGTACTGATCAACACTGTTTAATCAAATATCTGATTGTAGTTGAAGGTACTAAATTTGGGAAATAATAATTTTGAGGAAGTTCCAGAACAATTGAAATATCTCATATCTCTACAAAAGCTTTATATGTTTGGAAACAAGATCACCAAAATATCACCTTTAATATTTGGTAAGGGCATATCATGTTGTGTTCAAAGTCAGGTACTCTGCTATATAGTAGATATATAACTACATAGGTGCTATACTATATACTTGGCAACAAATCTATGCAATATAATGAAATTACTCCCCACATCCCATGTAGTGAAATTACTTTTAATTTACATGTTCATTCAAGTGTATCATAATAACTTCCGTTGTATAAGTTAACATATGAATAAAATGAATAGTTTTAAAAGAAAGATATTTTATTGTCAATGATGAACATGTTTTAGCTGATGTACTCTCAGCAAAAAAAATCTGTCATGAGAAAAGAGGAATGCCTTTCCTAAAATAATACCTGCTTTGGGGGATTTTAAAGAAGCTTTTATGAGAGAAGAAAAAAAAATCATCACCTCAAAAATCTATTCCAAATTCATTCTTCCCCTATTCAACTCTATGCTCCTTGAAAAGGATCCTGTTCCTTTTTTAAAAAATTGTTTATTATGTTCTCAAAAACAGTTGTTACGTGTAAGCTGCTTTATCTGTTTTCTGTCACTGGGGACATTATCTTCTAAGTATTTTTTGTTGCTAGTAGTTCATCTTCAACTGAAACTGGTCCTAACAAAGCTAATGCAGAGATGCAGAAACTGAGGTTCCATATGACCCTCAAGTACAGCCCTCAGAATTCTGCAAATGCTCTTACAAAATAGATTTTTTTAGTAGAAATGAAGATTAAAAAAAATGCATAGCGGGATGCTATTTACATCAAATTATTTAATTAAATGTACTTCTTGGTTATTTAAAAATAGTACCATGACATATAAATAAAATGGAGCATTAACAGAATAGGCATAATATAAGACTTCATATCTCTAAAAAATTTATTTGAAGGCTATGTTTGTTTATAGATGATTTGAAGAATTTAGAACTTCTCAATCTGAACAAGAACCAACTAAGTTACCTTCCTCCAGAGATTTGCAGGTAAATTTGATAAATATCAGGATAAGATTTTGCCTGAATTGGCTACAATGTATAAATTGGTTTTAATAACCCATCACTGTTTTTGTGAACAGCAGCAGCAGCATTTGAATGATGAAAGTAAATTCCTTTTAACGTTTTAAAGATTGGACTGTGTATGTGTGGTTGAGGTGGATATATGCTTATCTTACAGCTACTTAACAAAGAATATAAATACTTTTCCTAAGTCAATAGAAAGGACAAAATTCCTAGATTAGCATTAAAGGAGAATCATTGCAATATAGTGGCTAAAGTGTTGGATTTAGAATAGGAAGATCCAGGTTTGACTTCACCCACATTTTCAGATGGTAGCTGAAAAAAACATTTATACCTCATTCCATTTATCTACAATAGATTAGTGCTTCTCAACCTTGCAACTTTAAGACTCCATGCTGACTGGGGAATTCTAGGAGTTGAAGTCAACATATCTCAAAGTTGCCAAGATTGAAAAACACTGATCCAGATCACTTTTCTATTGCTTAAATACTATATACCAAGGTAAACCCACTGCTTTTAGAACTGCATTGGTTGCCAGTTTTCTTATGGGCCATCATCTCAGGTGCTGGTTGTCATTTGTAAGACTCTATGTCAGTGATGGCGAACTTTTTAGAGACTGAGTGCCCAAACTGCAACCCCAAACCCACTTATTTATCAGGTGCCAGGTGGGCGTGGCTGTGGTGGTCATGGCAGATTGGGTGGGTGTGGCCAAGGTGGGCGTGATCACCTCGATGTTGTTTGTGGGAGGGACACCTGTGGGGCCCGGGCAGGGTTGGGGGAGATCCAGGGAGTCTGGCAGGTGGGGTGGTGGGCAGGAGGCTCATTCTGCAGGGTAAGGTGAGGCAAGACAAGGCGGGCGGTGCCATTGTCATAGGGCAAGGTGAGGCAGGGGCTGGGGCAGCTGCTGCCTGATACCATCAGCCCTTGCACACAGAGGCCAGCAAGCACATGGGTGCTGGGATGTATCTGGCCATGTGGGACCTTGGCAAGTTAGCAGGCAGCTGGTTGAAGAGGGACGGTTGCCATTTCCGGGGCATGATGCTCATGCCCACAGAGAGGGCTCTGAGTGCCGCCTCTGGCACGCGTGCCATAGGTTCGCCACCACTACTCCATGTGGATCCGGACCTGGATATTGTAGAACTACCTCTTCCAATTTGTCCATTTTATCAGATCAAAGTGCATCAATTCCTTCCACATCTTAATTATTTTAGACTGCTGTTTGGTAGGAACTAAAAATTAAGCAATTTTTATCATGCCCCCGTGCTTTGGCTTTATTATTGCCTCTGTGCTTTAGAAAAGCAATTAATACTTGGGTTTTCTATTTGGTCCAGAAGGAAAGCATGTTGCATACGTTGGGGGTGCATTAATGTACACATGACTTTGTATATCCTTTATGTAGCTGTTGGAATTATTATTTTTGGGTGGGTTTATTTTCCTTCAAGGGATTCAGCACTGATTGTCAGCCTTTCATGAATGAATAACATTCAAATATATCAGCAAATAATACGTTGTAGCACAACTTCAGACAACTGAAGCTACTGAATTATTTTTTAATCAACTTTCAGCTTTCTAAAAATAAAATTTGCTAGACAACTCGTGACCCACTGGCCCATAGTTTTAGAAATATTTCCTCATAAAATTCCTCAATGCCTTTTAACAATGGGAATACTTCAACAATTTAAAATATTTGAAAAGTTCTTAAAAGTTCAGGGAGATATTCAGAGATATATCTGCCTTAGAAGATGTATCTGCCATGTTGAACTGTGTAGCATTGTCAGACATCAGAAATTGAAGAATAACAAAATAACAGAGTTGGAGGTCTTCTAGTCCAAGCCCCTGCTCAGGCAGGAAGCCCTATATCATTTCAGACAAATGGTTATCCAAATCTCTTCTTAAAAACTTTTCAGTTTTGGAGCAGCCACAACACCTGGAAGCAAGTTGTTCCACTGATTAATTGTTCTAACTGCCAGAAAGTTTCTACTTAGTTCTAGGTTGCTTTTTTCCTTGTTTCCTTTCCATCTATTGCTTCTTGTCCTGCTTTCAGATGTTTTGGAGAATAAGTTGACTCCCTCTTCTTTGTGGCAATATTTCCTTTTTTGTGTAAATATTTTATGACATTTTGTATTGTCATAAAATGCTTTATGATCATTTTATATACTGTTTTATAAAATTTGCCAAATTTCAATTCCATGGGAGCCATTTATTGCACATTGAAGACACATTCTGTAAGTTAGCCTACACAATGTACTTTGGCTGAAAAAAGATTGCCCTATGATGCACGGTTTTATTCCGTTAAATGTTACAGGCATAAGAGTTTTAGTAAATACAAGACAACCCATAACATTTGGGTATCATTTCAGAGATACTTCGTTACCAGATTCCCCAATACTTTCAACAATGGCAGAATTTCTGATGACCTGCCTTCACTGTGAAAATAGGGAAACATTCAAATATGTATCTGCCTTGAAAATAGCCCATGTTGTTCTGCATAGAATAGTCAAGCATAGATATAGGAAAACTTTTATGACATTTTGACTGCCCTAAAGTGTTTTATGATCACTTTATATCATTAAATATTTTATAAAATTTGCCAAATTTTAATTCCACAGGAGTTGTGAATCTCAGATTTTGGACCCATTCTGTAAGTGAGTCTATTTGAGATATTTTGGTTCAAAAATTGTGGCTCTATAATGCAACATTTTATCTAGTTAAAGATTACAGAAACAAAACAACATAGATATGAGGGATCCTTGCTCCTCTCTGAGCTTCTTCGTTTTCTTGCAGACATTTCATTACCCAAACTAGGTAACATCACTATCACTGATGATGTTACCTAGTTTGGATAATGAAACGTCTGCAAGAAAACAAGCAAGTTCAGTGAGCACCAAGGGCCCCTTATGTCAACCCTGAGCTACAAATATTCTCCTTTATTAGTATATGGATAGGTTGTTCAATAGTATAAATTGAACATCTGTTCCCATAATATTTGGCCAACATGGTGCAGTTGAATTATTGGAGTTGATAAGGCTAGAAAGGCTAATTTGAGAATATGCTATATTTTATTAAAATTGATTTATATGCAAACAATAGAGGCTATCATCTACAAACAGTTGTTAAATATTTAAAAGCAAGTATCCTCAACTACTGTCTTCCAATAGGCTTGAAAATCTTGAATGTGTGAGTTTAGAGAATAACAAACTGGAAAAGATTCCCAAGGAATTTTGTTGCCTTCAGAATTTGCGTGTACTTCACTTATCCCACAATTTTATCACCACATTACCTGAAGACATCAAACATCTGAAAAAACTCAAGATCTTGATTTTGTCAAGAAATAAAATAGAAACCCTCCCTGATGTGAGTAGCTATGCTTTTTTGGGGGAAAAAGGTATTATATTGTGACCATTAAAAAAACCATGCCTTTAGGAATTGGATAGGGAAATGAAACAGGCCTTCAGACGCTCAATAGGAAAAGCCAATGAAGATGGAGCTTGGAGATTCTTCTTCAGGAAAATTTGATGGGTGAAGTTTTTCACTCTGCTGCATGGTGATCTTTTGTGTATAGTTGTAGTTAACTCATCTTAAAAGCTGCAATGATCAGTTCCATTATTTTGTAATTAAATATGCAGTAGATATACCCCAAACAATAGTCAAAGGTTTTATTTATGTAAAGTACAGGTAGTCCTTGCCTTATGTCCACAATTAGGACCAGAACTTCCATTGTTAAGCCAAGTGGTTGTTAACTTGAGTGGTGCCCAACTTTGCAGCTTTTTTTTGTCCTGTTTGTTAAGCAAATCATCGCAGTTAAGTGAATGATGTGGTGGTTTAGCAAATCCAGCTTCTCCCATTGACTTTGTTTGTTGGAGCCTGATTGGGAAGGTGTTGAATGGCAATCACACATGACTCCAACAGTTGTAAATACGTTCCAATTCCCAAGCACCTGAATTTTGATCATGAGACTGTGAGGATGTTCTGATTTTGTAAATGTATTGGTTGTAAGTCACTTTTTTCAATGCCATTTGAATGGTCGCTAATTTGAATGGTTGTAAGTTGAGGACTACCTGTAGTAAATGTGCTTCAATGATGTAATACAGGGGTCTGCAAACTTGACAACTTTAAGACTTGTGGACTTCAGTTCCCAGAATTCCACAAGTCTTAAAGTTGTCAAGGTTAGACTTCTGGGAGCTGAAATCAACAAGTCTTAAAGTTGTCAAGGTTGCAGACCCCTGGTGTAACATAACAAACATCACAGTGCGAAGGATTTTTTGTCTGTACTAGTTGACTCTCAAACTTTTGCCTGAATCAATTTTAAGTGTAACAGTTTCTCCCTGCTTTTTATTTTTGTTTTGCTTTTCATGGAACAGTGGTTGAAAGAGTTAAATACCTTTGGAATATTGCAGAGGAGTTAAAGAAAAATTATTTACAAATATTATAAATTATTTGGATTGTCCATATGTATAAAAATGCTGAAAATGTAGAAAGAAGTAAAAATTAAGCAGTCACTCCTAATCCATAACCCAAATGTATATTTGAAATTTAAAAATGTTTGCATTTGGTGAAGATGCTACAGATTATATAAAATGTGTCTAGAATAGCACAAATGGCTTCAGTTTCTGTACAAACTGCTTTCTCATATATCTGGAACACCTCTTGGAAATTGTGATCAGCTTGTTATGGAGAAAAGTGGAACTTTTCATAGCAAAATTGTCCTTTAGCATGGAATGAGTTACAATATTTTAGCCATGGAGTCCTATGCAACAATGTTGTTTTTCTAAGGTGAGTTTATGCTACCTATTTTAGTTAGCATCTCACTTTTTTTTTTAAAAAAAGAAACCCTTTTATGACATCAGTTTTACTTTTGAGGTTATAAAGGTGAATCCTAAATAGCCAACCATAATTGGCTGAATTAGAAGTAGATATATAGATATAAATATTATTTATATACCATGATTTTGAAACAAGGGGTTCAGATTCACACAAGATACCTAGCTGAAAACAGCTACATGTAGTTTAGCATAGTGTATGAATCCACTGCCACTCTAATATACTTCTAGTATTATCTTGAGATCACAACATAAAGCATTGTTTTATGTTTCAGTTGACAATGCAGGAAAAAAATGTCAAGAATAATATAGTCTAATCCCAGGAGCAAATAAATAAGACATTATCTTCAGTTTATTTTATTTAATATATAAAAAGAATTACTACTAACTCTCCTTTCTCTCTATTCTCTGTATTCAGCTTTTTTTTTCATGACTGCTGTCATTCTACCTTTCCCTATTTAAGGAAGAGTGCTACATTTTGCATTCAAGTGATTTCTTGGGATACCTTTTTTATAAAAAGACTAAGACTGGAACAAAATAATGATACTGCATAGCAAAAAAAAATTAATATAATTTAGGTTACATTTAAACATAATTAAAATGGGTAAATTATTCTCCATGTATTTAATAATTATTTCTTCTTTCACGTTAAAATTGAAATTTGATGGTTATTTCTGGGGATACTCTGGAAATACATTTCAGGAATTCAGTAACTTTATGCACGTTCACTTGGGAACACTCTGCGGAACTTCAAAGTAGGTATACTTTGGTTTGTGCTGAAGGGCACTTATTTTAATATTATTAATTCACATTTATCATTTTTAATTAGGGAATCTGCAAACTGAAGAGACTTAAGACTCTTGATGTTGCAGGAAATAATATTCAGATTTTTCCCAAAGCAGTAAGTATGACCATTAATCAATCTCTTCAGTGGAAAACACCCTAACCAATCTTCTATTGAAATCTAATGGTTGGCCCAGAAAGTACTAAAAAATAATGCATTTCCAAGAGTGCCATATAAATATATCAAGGATCCTTACTTGACTTTTGATATTATACTTTTTTTGTAATTGTGTTTATGCTGTTATTGTATTTTAGTTCACACCACTTTGTTTTTGTATTTCACCATTATGTTGTTCTGGAAACACACTGTTGCTTAGTAAATAACGTTTACTCAAAATCACAGATGATAAAGAATTGCAGGTAAAATCAGCCAGATCAAAGGCTTGCTAAAACAAATTGTGTACAGTCAGCCACAAAAGCCATTGGAATGGATCTCTAAGCAGAGTCCCACCATTTTAGTGCAGATATAGAAAATGTTTTTTTGTGCAGTTTTAGACTGAAATACAAGAGAGATGAGGCCTTTTCAATCTGGGCAGAAAAAACATCCTCCCCTCCCAGTTGTATTTGTAGCTTTGTTCTTTATCTGTTCAAATATGATTACTTATGTCTTCTATCCAGTGCTTTTTTTTGTAAAAAAAAAAAAAAAAAAGGTGCCGGAACTCACACACGTTATACAACCCGCCTTGCCTACCCTACAAGGTTCCATCCAAAAAAGGTGCTGGAACTCAGTTCTGGGCGTTCTATGAGAAAAAAAGTCCTGCTTCTTTCTATCTATCTATCTATCTATCTATCTATCTATCTATCTATCTATCTATCTATCTATCTATCTATCTAATTTTGAAGGCATTTGACTCCCAAAAAGACACTGAACAGCTTATACGGTAATTAGAAAGAATATAAATAACTACTCTCAAAATTGTCAGGTGGCTCCACAAATGCAAAACCAAATTATAGGCCTAAGATGTATGACAGATAAATGATGTTAATGGGAAAAATACTAACTATATTGTTTTATATTTAAAATGTTACTTTGTTATTTAAATAGATGGGATATCTTCAGCTTGAGGAACTTTTCTGTGAAGATAATCCATTGCTTCAGAAAAACCCAGTTAGTGCCATACAAGAAGAGGATATTCTCACTCTTAAGGTTATTAATACAGAAGTACACGTTCAATAAACTATTGCTTTAACATGATGCTTTCTCTAGATTTCAAACTAATTTATATTTTTGCTATTCAAACCATTTCAAATAACTATTTTGTAACCTGGGATATTTCTTGAAAGTTATTTAAATTATATAAATACTGTATATTAGTTTTCAAATGAAATGGACTGAAATGATTTAGTATAGTACTAAGAACCTTAATTGTATGAATTTGGGATGATTAAAACATCAATAAAAACAGTGGTTGGGTTCAAGTGTCGTCCTAAATTATCCTTTGTTTTAAACATGGGCCAGTGAAAAATTGGTTTCATGTAATACCAAACCATATAAGTAATGATTTATGAAACACACTAGATGGGTTTACATATATCGCTAAACTAAACTAAAGTAAGCCATCTTATCATTTAGTAAAATATGTGAATCAGCCAATAACTCAGAAGAAAGGAGCATTTTTTATGTACGCTATGCATGAAATGTAAATGCTATCCTCTTATGTGTAACAAGAGGAAGAAAACATTTAAGGAACATAGGTGATAGAGGACCTTTTATCATGTTCAGCTGATAAATTGGGTCGGTTTTTTTGGGGGGGAGGATATCTTTGGGTCAGTTTTGATTCCTGGAAACTGCTTGAATGGGTTCCTCCCAGTGCTTTTTTTCTAAAAAAAAAAAAAAGGTACCAGAACTCATACATGTCATACAACCCGCCTTGCCTACCCTACAAGGTTCCATCCAAAAAAGGTGCCGGAACTCCGTTCTGGACGTTCTATGAGAAAAAAAAAAGCTCTGGTTCCTCCTATTAAATCAAGTGTGCATTTCTTGAAAAAAGCCTGGAAATTGTTGAAAATGCAGCAACGTGAGTACTGAATGGTGTCTCGTAAAGGTCCCACACAATCATGTACTGAAACAGCTTTATTGGTTATGGGTTGTCTTCCACCCTCAATTCAAAGTATTTCCACTGGTGTGTAAAGCATTACTGTTTTTCATTTTTTGTCTTCCTTCGTAATTAAGTTCTAATGATGGTTTTTATTGTATTTTTCTGAGTTGCACCGTGCAGTTAAAAAGACAGAGGCATATAATTTTTCTAAATTAAAACTTCAGGTTACATATTTAAATTTCTATTATAATTTCTTGTCAATAATATTTATTATTTTGTCTTTTAAATCCACAGGAAATAACAGCAAGATTTATTTTTACTCAGCTGGAAAATGAAAACCCTCTTTTATGCAGAGCCGTAAAACAAAACCCACAAGCACAGAATTTGCTTTCCCAGAGGCAAGAATGTGCACAGTGTGGTCACAGCTTTCTGAGTATGTGGCTAGAATGCGTGCGCTTCATAGATATAAAACAGGTAAGTTACTTTGATACTGTACATTTTAAAAGATGTATTCGCTGCAATTCCAGACTTTAACTAGTTTTTATTGCTGCATGCTTTTCTTATGCAGTTCTAAATACTTTGTTTCTCTTCTGCATTCATCAAGGTAATGATTATTGGCTTCCAAACATAAGCGGAATCCTGACAAATTAAGGGAAGACTCCATATGGCTGAGAACTAATTTTCTATCAATGGCTAAGCGTATCTTATTTATATTCCTATAAATTTTGCTTATAGGATTCAGGGAACCTAGAAATAGAAAAACTGTGTTTGGAAAATAAAGGAAAAACTGGGCTTAATATTAATGTGTGTTTCAAAATCTGATTGACCAGAATCCAAAACTGGGAAATAATGTTACTTTTATTTTATTTATTAATGTGAGGAGTTGCCTTAATTTTATCATTAATTCACTTTCTTTACTCATGGTTATCCTGTTTAGCTTTGCAGTTGTAAAAACTTCCTTAGTTTCTTTTAAATTGGTAACTTATACGGAATAAACTATACATGCTTGCCTGAGGGCTTTCATCTCCACAGAAAATCTGTAATATAATCAAAAACTGCTTTTGAAAGACAACATTGTTTAAAGTTTTGGACCTGAAGAAATCTATCTTGGAAAATTAATGTAATTGTATATAGTAATAGCACGAGTTTCATTCATATATTCAGATGAAAGTAGTTTAACAAGCATAAATTTATATTGTAATTGATTATATGACCAATTTCATGGCTGGACCATGTCTGAAACACTGGGAATGGATAGAAAAGAAAATTCTGGGAGAAAATCAGGGAACACCAAAACTTTCTTTGACTGGGACACTGAACTGTATACACAATTATAACAAGAAATAAGTTTTACAGTAAAAATATGTTTTATAAATATAAAACTTATATTTATATTTTTGGAGATATCCCAATGTAATTTAAATAATGGGTATTACAAAATGGAGGTTTGAATGCAGAATTCAGCAACCCAAAGTGAAAATACATCAGTGCTTTTGCGAAAGTTTGTACAAGAATAAGCAGAACATTACTGTTTAATTTCAGAGATTACATTCTTGCATAAGAAATAATGAATAGGAGCAGTACCACCCATATAATGTATACATTTTAGTAGGGGTTTAAAGTTTTATACAACAACTTCTATAAACAAGCTCTTGGACTAAGTTGAAAACAGACGTTATATAAACAAAATATTTTTTGTTTTGTAAATTATCTATTTTTTCTCAGTTACAGATACTAAGTATCCATCTACCCAATGCACATTTCTTATGAGAAGCAGCCCAATTACTCTGACTAAGTTCCCAAGAACACATGGGATTCTTTAAAAACCTTCCATGCCATTTTGAAAGCTATATTTGAGGATCTTTTCCACATGGGAGAGTTGCTTATGAAACACAATATACAACCCCCCTCCCTCAGGCAAGCACTTAATTTCTTTTGACCCAACCAATATTTATTTAATATCTCAGTTCTCATCCTGCATAATTGGCATTTTGTATGAATAAAGTGGAAAGCACACAATAGCATTCTGAAGGAGTTTTAATTTCTAAAAATATAACACATTTTCATATTTGACATCATAAATATAAAATCCTGAATTTTGAATCTTACTAGTTTCAAGTTAATGGAGGAGGAGAACAATGGTATTATTTTTCATATAAATGACTTGTAGAATAGAATGATAACTAAAAGTTTGGACATAGATGTGAGAAAACAGATTTAATCTCCATTAGACTACAAAGCTTATTGACTTTTACCCAGTGCTTTTTTTCTAAAAAAAAAAAAAAAAGATGCCAGAACTCACACATGTCATACAACATGCCTTGCCTACCCTACAAGGTTCCATCCCAAAAAGGTGCTGGAACTCCGTTCTGGGCGTTCTATGAGAAAAAAAGCCCTGCTTTTATCTTTGGAAAAGTCAACTGCATTGGTCATCTATGGTTGCCAAAAGGACAAAATACTTCTTTGGGTTATTGTGGGGAAGCTGAGGAAAAATACAGTCAATCCAAATGGATACTAGTTTTAGTATGTATGTAATTGTACTGACCATGGAAAGCTATTATTATAATAACATGCAGCATTCCTGCATGTTATTATAATAATAAATATATTTTTGATTGGATTGTTCAGTATATCTACTTTTAATGTAGAAAAAGAAATGTACTTTTCCATTTATATAAATTGAGCTAAATATTGTTCTTGTTCTTGTACATCATTTCACCTCCCTACCCCAAACCAGTCCTCCATTTTATCCTATTGATTACCTGAATGAAACCAGTTATGGACTATAAGCTTCCTGTCCTATCATTTAGAACATTCTCAAAAATGTCCATGCTATCTTCATGGTATTTATTGACAATCCTCATGCATTTAAATGGATGCTAAAAAAAGAACAATATTTATTTGCTCCTTTCCCCAAGCAACAAAGCTTATACAGGTTTAAGTCCAATGGAACTGAATTTTCAGCAGCTCATGATCTACTGACTCCAGGAAGGCAGTAGGGTATAGACAGAGGGTTAAGGATTATGTCTCTGTGTATATCACTCTGCCTTCTCTTTGTCTATCAGATTCCTAATCTGAGGTCACATGAGTTTTAATAGATGCTAGATAACTCATGATGTCTTGGGTTATCATTTCAGAGATATTTCCTTATCAGATTCCTCAATGCCTTCAACAATGGCAGCAACAATAATTGGTCTCCAAGTAATATCCCAGACAGCAGCCCTTTTCAAATAACAGTTTATTCAAACATAACCCAAATGGTAGGTTGAAAATCAGCTTCAAACTTTGTTCTTTGAATTTCAGACTCAAGAGCTGTTCTCTTAATCCCTGCTTTTTTTAAACTGTGTTGATTCAGAATGACAGAAACATGTTTTGGTGTTGTATCTTTTGATTCTCGTGTCTATGTGAGCTTCATAAAAACCACCCAGTACTTCTCCATGCCCAGTTCCCTGTGTTGGTCAAGGAATGTAGCCATTGGCAAACATATCAGACCACGTAGTCCTGTTGTATAGTCAGTGGTGGGATTCAAATATGTGAACAGCCAGTTCTCTGTGTGGATGCTGCTTCTGGAAGTCCATTCTGGGCCTGGGCAACAAAAAATTAGCTACCGGTTCTACTGAATTAGTGCGAACCGCTGAATCCAGTTCAAATGGAGGTTTAGTCTCTAATTGGGACAAAAGATAGTGAAACCTGAAACATGAATGGATGAATGAATGGAACTAACACAGACAGTACCATACTCATACACATGTGCTATAGTACTTCATAATAGAATCTGACATCCCTTTGAAGGAACTCTATAAAAGGAAGAAGATTCTGGAGGCTTACCCTGAACAAATCTGACTTTATTTCTTGATACCACTTCAACAGAATATGAAATCTTGATTTCTAGGTTCAGGTTCCGCTTGTCTAATTGCTACAATAAATTTGTTTTCTCCGACTCTTGTGGACCCATTTTTCTCACCTAATTATTATAATTGGGCTAGATTGTTCTTTACATATTCAGAATCCCTGGCAACTTCAGAAAACGCCTTGACTGCAAACATGATTTATATCATTTATCAGAAAATGTGAAGATTGGAAGTGTTTATATTTATGAGAAGGATTAAAAAGAGACTTTTTTCATAGTAAACTATAATGTACAAAAAAAAAAGAAATATAAAATTCTGTAACCTAGATTCACATTTTTTTTCTCTTTCTTTTTAGAAGCGAATGAAGACAAGCAAAAACTTGCAGCTTTTACCTGTTAGGTCACTACTATGTTCATACAAATGTTTTTACCACCGCGATCATGAACTCTTTGGAATCTCTGTATTGTAAAGCAAACAGTGAAATGGTGCTTCAACCAGCTTGCAGCTATCATAGTTTTCTCAAGATCTTTAAAACCTGAAGCCAGTATTAATTGCTACATCAATATTTAATTAAAAATTAATACCTTTTATGGAAGTGTAATTTCAGAGAAGTGATGGTTGGTAATATCTTTTGGCAAACTAGATTCCATATCTGACAGTAGATTTACTTGGGCAAGCAGCATTATATAACTTTCAGGTAAAGTTTTATAACGAAAACTATCTAAATTATATTATTTCTTTGGGATTTTATCCACAAAAACTAATGTGAAATTCTGTATTTTTTTAGGATCAGAATTTAATGATGCAAAAGACTCTTTTAACATATGTGGGGTGATTGACTTTTACTTTAAAATCCTGTTTTCTAGATGTTTATAACTTGGCTATAAAATCTGGCATGCAGAACTTTCAACATTGGAGAAACCGGGTTGGAGGATTTGAAAGAAAGATGGCATGTATAAGGGATTTATTCATTTTTAGGTGCATTAATTACAGAAAATCTATGTGTATCATGACAAATTTTGAAAGAACAAAGTTCTGTAAGGAAGCAGGAAATTAAAGATATGTGCCTGTTTGCTTGCTTTTCCAATCATTATATGGAAGGGTTTTTTTTTTAATTCTTATGGATGTTTCTATACTATAGGTCTTCCAAATTTTTAATTAGCATGCTCATCTCATGTCACTAATTATAGTGTAGCAAAATACCAAATTTATCTTAAATATGAACATTTACAGTTTACACATAGAAATCAGGCAGAAAGGATAATAAGTAGAACCATGTGATTGCTTTAAGTAAAATTTTCCATTCAGCACAATAACGTTATTGAAAAACTATGCAGCAATTCAGACTGTTTTTTTTAAACAGAAAATTGAATTCAGCATTTATATTAGGAAAGAGATGACCATACAAAATTATAGATATCTGTAGAATGCACTGAATGATTTTTCCACTTCCCCAAATTTACAAAAAAAAATAGGCTGATTAAGCTGTCCCTGCCTACTGTAGGTACAGTTTTCTGTACAGGTAATCTTCGACTTACAACCACAATGGAGCCTGGAATTTCAATTGTAAATTGTTGTGGTCATGTGACCAGACTCAGTTTTATGACCATTTTTAGAACAATTATAAAGTGAATCATTGTGGTCGTTAAGCAAATCACATGGTTGTTAAACAAATCCATTCTTCTGAATGGGCATTTTTGACTGGAATTCAGAAAAAAAAATGCCAGAAACACCTCTCAAGCAAATTTAAAGTTACCATTCAGAGAATTCAACTAACAGATAATTCCAATGTAATAATTTGGAAATAATTCCAAAACTGCTTCTGAATACTTTGGATTCTTTCTCTTCTATAAGAATAGACATCTATACTTGCACACTCCTTGCTTAGAACTTTGAAAACCGCATTTGTACAAACTGTTTTGTGGCATTAGGAATGAAAACAATCTAATAGCTGCTGTACCTTTAAACACAAAGGTTTAAATGTTAGTGACAATTTCTGCAAAAGTTTTATTTTTCTATAATAAACAAACAAACAAATAAATATAAAAGAATTCCTAGTGAAAACTGATACTGTAAATACTGTTTTATTTTAAAACATTTGGTTAGTTTATTTGTTATATTTTAAACTATACCTTCAGAGCAGCAAATTACGCAAAAGAACCACTGCAAAACTCAAGCAACCATAAATCAATGCAAAAGTTTCTCCCAAGTTGTTTTCAGTCTACTGCACAGGCATGGATTAAAATCACAGGGCTGATGTTCTAGTCTGTAACTGAAAATGGTGCCATAAATCATCATGGTTTCTCAGCAAGATCAAATAAGTGCACGTTCACCATTATTGTGCTTAGAGCCAACACTTTTGAGACATTCCATAATATGGGACCCCTATTGGGAGCTCAATGTTTCAAGCCTCATTGCAAAACAGGGTTTGGACTTAGACCAGCAAGTCCAAATTTCAAATTCCCAGTCAATCACAGAGCTTGTTGGATGATTTGGGGTTAGTTACTCTCAGCCTTATCTGTTTTACAGATAAGAATAGTGTTACAGTGATAAAGTTATAAAAGACTTCCCTATGCTGGTTTGAACTCTCATAGGAAAGGTGTGAAATAAACCCAATATATAAATAATTACATAAACTTAGCTGCCTATTCTGCTGTTATTCTGAGATTTTTTTCATTGCTTCCTACCTTTTTCCTTTTCACATAAAAACAAAACAAAAACCATGTTTAATAAGAAATAGGTGAATATGTACAATAAGCATGACGCACTAAAATATATAATATTGAAAATGGTAAATTTACCTGTGGAAAAATTTTCCACAGAAAATCTCTGCTTCCACAGTTATTTCCAAAGTGGTGTTGATGAAATCAAAGTTGCTTGTAATATCAAACATATAATCTAATGGAAAAGAGAAAAAAGGGAGGAAAGCATGTTCGTTTCTGCTCTCTCAGCTGGGCTCATGAGATGTTCTAGCTTTCCAACCTGTATTGGTCTAATACACTCTGGTGGAATGGCATCTTTTTTGAGGATCATTGACCTGATGGAACAGAGTTAATGAACTGGAGAATGTGCTGAGAAGCAACAGAATTGATCAAGAGGACTGAAGCAAATCTTTTCTTAGAAAAAATAAAGGGCAAACCCAAACTTGAAAAGGAGGCAAATCTGAACGAGGTTCAGAAGGATAAAAAAGTTTACTTGGTTATAACTTTGCTTTTCAACAAATCAGAGGACCAAACCAAGAAATGCATATTCTATTAAAATCAAAGACTATATGCAAATTTATTTTAAAAAGACAATTGTAGTACTGTACTGCAGGCCACTTTAGCTGACTGTGTTCAGCAGGTCAGCGGTTCAAATCTCAAGGTTGACTCAGCCTTCCATCCTTCCGGGGTAGGTAAAATGAGGACCCAGATTGTTGGGAGCAATGTAAATATATATATACATTGCTTACTGGTGTACACCGCTTAGAGAGTGCTTGCACTTAAAGCAGTATATAAGTCTCATAAATAAATAAATAAATAAATTGACTTTCTGTATTTTTCATCTGAATATGATAGATTGCATGAAGTGGTACCATTTGTATGGTAAAAGTTAAATGAGCAAAATAAAGGACAAAAGTGAGTTTTTGAAAAATAAATCTAAAGAATGGCGTCCTGAAATAAGGCACTGTTCTTTTTTTTAATAAAGCATGTGCGGTCACTATACACATCTTTATGAGGAAAGATGTCTGATTTTTAATAGCTGAGAAAAAAAAGAGAGTAAGAGGTGATATAATTGATATATAGCAAAGAAAGATAAACCTTTTCCCCTTGTCATAATAACAGAACATGGAACCATAGAGAATTGTGAATAATCCAGATAAAATAATATTAAGCTTTGCTACAAACAGTAGTGTTTGGCTACTCCAGCTGGTAGAGAGGCAGGGATGGGCATTGTTGAGTCCGTGGTGGGAAAACAGACACGAGAAGCAGCTGGAGTTCTCAGTTTCATTTATTCAGCGTTCAGCTTACATGAAGATGGCTTCAGCCTCGCCCAAACGCCTCGCAGCCTCTTATATAGGCAACTCCCGGGTAAATGGGTTACTTTTCCCGCGCCAGCACCCGCGCATGCGCACGGCGCTGGCGACAGCCTGTCTGGTCCCGGGCAGCTTTGCACCTGCCCGGGACTGCCTGCAAACGCCCGAGCCGTTTGCAAAGGCTCGGGACATAACACCCCTTTCCCCCGGGCTAAAACTACTACCAACATACAACATTTATTTTATATGACATTTTGCTCCCCAGGGCTCCCACTGATTACTGGCTTTTGCCTTGCCAGCAATGTTATGTAATCTTCTAGATACTTAGGAGATTTCTTTGCTCTCTGTGACCTTCTTAGCTCTGGGTTACTGGCATAAGTCCCCTGACTGGAGGGAGGCGTGAGCCTGTTCTCTCTATTGTGCCCTGGTGTCTTCCAAGGACTGTGCCCCGATGCCTGGCCTGCTTGCTTGCCCACCGGGCTCGTCAGGCCAGGGCTTCTGTTACTTTGTGACCTGGTTGACCTACCTAGCTGTAGACCCTCAGGCCCCTTGAAGTGATAGCCGCTGCTGGGCGTCTCTGTAGAACCTCCTAGGTCAGTCCAAGACCTGTCAGGAGGCTGTCCATTCCCTGAACCCCATTCTGTGTTCGGGCTCGTGTGGGTTTCTGTACTTTCCCAAAACTCAGGTGTTCCCTGATTTGTGCTAGGGTTGTTGTAGTCGGGACTTGGTTCCTCGACTAACTCTGTGTATGTTTGACCCCCTGTAGGATTTGGGGTAAGGTCAGGCCAACCTTGGGAATTGTGTGCCAGTTCTCTTGCGGGGAATGATTTGTTGGGATGCCCCCGGGTATCCTCCGTTGCTGGAGTGCTGTGTGATGTGTGTGGAAAGTGAGTATGCCCCCGGGGTGACTCCCTGGCTGGAGTAGGCGTGAGTGCCTGTTGTGTGGGTAAGCTCCATGACTTTCTTTTCGGAGCAATTGCAGAACCTTGGGACGAGCCGTTTGTGGCTCCCTCAGTGGAGATGGGCAGTAGCTCTTGCCCTTCCCTTTGCTCCAAAGGGTCCCCCTCCCCCCCTGGAAAAGACCCAGGAGTCTCAGCAGAAAAGTCTCGCCTAGAGCGAAGTTGGTCGATGTGCCGACGCAGGACACGACCGTTGTCCAGGGCAACCTCGTAGGAGAGAGGACCTGTGATCCTGGACACAGAAGCGGGGACCCATGTATGACCAGGCCCGTAATTGCGAGCCCAAACCGGGGCACCCACAAGTAGTTGTCTAGGTGCCCTAGGATGTGAGGTAGATGAAGGCAGTCTGTCTGGATGCAACCGGTCAAGTCTAGTAGTAAGTTGGCGCCCCCAACGAAGTTCAGCTGGACTTCTCCCTGTAGAAGTGGACGGTGTGGTGCGATAAGAAAGGAGAAAGTCAGCCAACCTGTGATGCCAGTCCCCGTAGGTGAGTCTCTTCAAGGCGTCCTTTGCGATGCGCACCATGCGTTCAGCCATACCGTTGGTGGACGGGTGAAAAGGCGCAGATGTGGCATGACGAATCAGGTTTGCCTGTAAGAAAGCTTGGAATTCGGAGGAGGTGAATTGAGGGCCGTTGTCGGACACAATGACATCTGGCAGCCCGTGTGCAGCAAAAATCCCCCTCAGTACCTGAATAGTCTTTGCAGTGGTGGTGGATGAGACAGGCACAACCTCAAGCCATTTTGAATGGCTGTCAACAAGGACCAAGAAGAACTGGCCCTGAAAGGGCCCAGCGTAGTCAATGTGCACCCTAGACCATGGGGACTGTGTTTCCTCCCATCTATGCACAGGAGCTTGGGGCATCTCTGGGCGAGATCGTTGGCACAGGTGGCATGCGTGTACCTTAGCCTCAATATCTTTATCTAAACAGGCCACCACAAGTGGCTGCGTGCAAGAGCCTTCATACGAACAATGCCAGGATGACCCTCGTGGAGGGATTCTAAGACCCTAGTCCTCATTGAGGTGGGAATGACAACTCTGTTTCCCCAAAGCAGACAACCCTGAGAAAGGGACAGTTCGTTTCTTTTGGACCAGAAACTCTGAAACTCAGGACTAGGGCAGTGCTCAGGCCACCCGGACAGGACCCAGGAGCGGACACGTGAAAGTGTGTGATCTGTACCTGTTTCAGCGGTAACATCCCTGGCACTAAGAGGGAGCTCGGGCAAGGCTTGGATTGATAGAATGTTGACAGCTGGCGCGGGGTCAGCTTCTACTACTGGCAGAGGCAATCTACTGAGGCCATCAGCATGGCCCATTTCTTTCCCAGGCTTGTGGAGTAATGAAAAATCATATGCAGACAAAAAAATAGACCACCTAAGCATTCTAGGGGAAATGATGTGGGGAGTCTGCTTACGTGTGGTAAACAGTCCCAGCAGAGGCTTATGGTCAGTGAAGACCGTGAAATGCCTGCCATATAGAAAATCGTGGAATTTTTTAATTCCAGCAACAACAGCCAGAGCCTCCCTGTCTATCTGAGCGTAGTTGCGCTCGGCAGAAGACAGTGTTCTGGAGTAGTATGCAATAGGAACCTGAGTTCCATCAGACCTGAGGTGACTCAGGACAGCTCCAACCCCGTAGGGGGACGCATCACAAGCGATGCACACAGGGA